AATACCCTTCCGACCACGTGACCGCGTGCACACTGATTGGTTATTGTTTACGATTGGCAGGCTCGCGCCTATAGGTATCGAACCGTGAAATTCAGAGACGAGGCGTTCGTTTTATCATAGAAATCGGATCGTAATCGCGAACGATCGGGAATAATTTCCCGACGAAATTGACAATGCTTTCGAATCGATCGAAGAGCAAGAGATATTCGTCGAAACGTGCATTGATCTGTGAAATTGTCAGGATTCTAGTATTCTAGGTCGAAGACGTCGTTCAATTGACCGTTGTTTTCGATAAATAACGGTTTCCAGGAGCTACTGCTTTATTTTATGCGAGGTTCATTTCTGGAGAAACGTAAACGAAATTGCAGGCTTTCTGCGACAAGCTCAAGGGTGCGTGTTCACCGAAACTCGCAGGTCAACTTTTCTCTCGTGAAAGAAAGTGAAAGACCGATATTTAAACCACAAGTATTCGCAGGGGATAAAAAAAAAAGTTCATCGGTTCAAGAGTTTCTGGAGCTCGGATGCAAATAAAATGTACGATCGTACGGGCCCCGATTTCATTACCGTCCATGGATTTACATAAAATTTACAGTCTAGTGGCGTCCAACCGCAAGTTGATTCAAGATAAATCTCACTGTATGATAAGTAAAAATGCATAGGCAGTTTTTGAATAATTCGACTAGTATATGGAACAGAAAACTCGTTGAGCGTAATGCCGAACTAAAGTAGCACGAATAATTTGTCAAAGGGGAAAGAGAATTGAAATGAATTCGAATTAGAAAACAATACAGTGCCGAAAAGGATTACGACAATTATTTGAAAACAGCGGATTTGATGCATTTGTTAAAACATTAAATACATTTACAGCGTTTAAAAATGCTGTTCTATTAATTTTGCTCGTTTAGGTGATTAAGAAAAGAATTAAATGTGTCTAATTATCAAACTAAAAAATAAGTTACCATACAATCAATATAGCTCACAAGTGAATTCTATAAGAAATATTATAATTTCGGTAATAACAACTACGGGAGTTTGTTAACAAAACAAGAGCATAATATAAAAACGACTGAAACTTGTCAATTTTCAAAATGATCTTAATCTATTATTTCTGATATTGTTAAATGATGTTAGCAGAATTTATTATCCTTCTTAGAATGGAAGATTTAAAAGATAATATCACATCCGGATAATACAAGCCTTACATACGTAAAACACGTTTATTTGGCAAAACATGATTCTTACGGTTCGTTGTACACTTACCTGTAATTTGCGATCGGATTAAAATGCAGAATCACATTTTCACACGCAAATTGTTTCATAAATGCGAAACATAGTAGAGACTCGCAGAATATGATGCACTTCACGCCGGTGAGCATACTGCAGTATGCAATTATTAACACTTGCTGATGCACGCTTATAAGATTACGAAATCATCTGTGTACTTTGCTGTATCTCTGTATATACGTTTACAAGTTCTATGGAAATTTTAATTGCTGGTTATTGCCTTTTAGAGGGAAATACGCAAGCGTACACAATAGAACCTGTAATTGCTGTCTTTCTTTTTATAGCGTTGTTCCTTTTTCACGGCTTTCCCATTTTTTACTTCCATAATTTCTTGTAATATAAGCTTCCTACTTTGTTATTAAAATTAAGAAAGCTGTTCAGATCATTAGCAGATAAATTACTGTTATCTTGTATCTATTTTTAAAGAATAACGTGTTAACGAATCGGCGACAAATAATTTCCGTAAAAGTCTGTGGAAAATAACGGAAGAATACGAGACAGCAATATTAAATTCGTTTGAGTTAATGAAGAAACTAAATTCTTCTGTTATACGAGACTATAATAATTGCTTTTTATGATCCATAAATGTCTTGTTTAATTTCATGATATAAAATGCCATTCAAACCCACGAGTGGCTTCGACGTTTAGGCGGCTTCATCCATTGACACAGTCACACGTTATCTTGTAGGTACATACATGGAATACTTTTTTAGTTTATAACACGTAAGCATGCATAATAACATTTCTGTGGGAAAAAGCTTGGTACGGTTGCGTGTAAAAAACGTTCACTTCAGGACAAATTTTATTTGAATATTTTATGTTATAGGTATTTCTGATTTAAAAAGCTGTGGAAAATTGATTTAAAGTAATTGATTGTTTCAATACAGATATGAAGTAATCTGCAACAGATGGCATAACAAACTTAATAAATTATGACATAATAATTTGAAGAACCAGGTACTAGTAGTTTCTCAGATAACAGTTTCAAAAAATATATTTTTATACCATTCTTTACTCTGAATGAAATTGTGTAGAAAGCAATTTTCCAACTTGAATTTTTTTATTGAAAAACATTACACAAACCACAGTAAAAATTTCAGCTTGAAAACTTCGTTTCTGCTCTACTACTTGGTTTTCAACTTACTAATGTCGCACTATTTTCGACCTGCTAAAATTATTGTAAAAGAAACGATTTATTTTTCGTTTAACTTCTGTTTCTTACGATCATCTTGGACAATTTCTATTCCTCCCGATGTTCCGCAAACTAGTAATTACACGCAATCAACAAGAGTTAATGCGTTGCCAATACGATGAAAAAAATACCAAAGATCTATTGATGAGAGAATTCGATCCGATAGCTTAGCAAGTTAATTGATACTGGTTTTCCAGCCGAGAGTCCTCCTTTCTCAGGACGAGCACTACTAGATTAGCAATGCATGCCGTAAGCCTATTCCAGTTGTATCATGGAATTAATATCAAGACTGCGAATTAAACTGACAGAAATACACGTGGCATGGTCTTCTTACGAGACCTATTTCTGAGTCCGAAGTGCGCCGGTCTTACCGAGCGCAATCCTATTAAGGGGTTAACAGGTATCTGGTTAGAAAACGAACGATCCAGTCGTACTTCGTACCTGTACCAGTGAACAGTGTTCATTAATATCACTTGAACTTCAATGAGGCAACGAGATTTTTAAAATCCCGATCGTCTGAAACAGTTCGCAGGATGGGTGATATAATCGGTTAGTAAGAAAAACCGTGTAACGAAGACGTTCGTGCACCAGGCGATTCCAACTGTGCAGTGTAACCAACCGAAAAAGAGAAATTTTTACGATTTACTTGTGACCAATTATTCTCGCAATCGAAGAGTGCGTTTCGATGAACAGAAATGCTTCGAACAATAGTGATGCCTGAAAATTTCATTGAAAAAAGAAAAGATCAGAGAGTTGTACGATTTTTGGGGATGATGATTACGCTTGTCGTGAAAAAAAAAACGTACAATTGCATGCTAATCGTTATATACTTCGATTTAATATGTGTTTAGAAAAGCAGTGAACATAAACATTATCATGTTAATTCGATTAGAGAGAATAGAACCATGTAAAATGTAAATTTGATTATTATAAGAACGTGTAATATTGCGTTATATAACCGACTTTGCAGACTTACAGAAGACCTCTTTCCCCTATTAACCGAATTAGAAACCCGTGCTTTCCAGGTCCGAGTTGTCCGCAAAAACTATAATTTGCTATTAGATCAGCAGGTCTACTGAACCTACACTTTTTATTTAAATTGTAACCGTAATTAGACAGCGGATTTTATGGTTCTATGCTGAAACGAGTAGCTGTAATTTAAAACAAGAGGATTGAAAGAGTCGAATACTATTAATAGGAGAATTTTTGTGTTTTTTATAATGAATTTTACATTTATATGTGAATTTATGATAAAATTTAAGATTTCAAGATAAAGTTATAAGAATCGATTAAAGTTGAATAAATTTATAATCAAATTTAAATTCATACATAAAATAGATTTTATACAGGTATACAATTTATATATAAATTTTTTTTTTAAGATTAAATTTATATATAATTTTAATTTCGTATAAATTTATAAGATAATTATTAATACATAGAAATGATTCATAAAAGAAATCATTTTCTGTTTAGCTCCTATATCTTATAATCGATGCACGAGAGTTTCATTTTGCATAAAAATTCATAGTCCGCCCATAACTCGAGCACAAACGTTTCATATTTTATTTTCTGTAAGCATCTCATGTGTTCGTAGCTTGAACATGATACTTTTAAATACGGATAAATAACCTCCTCTTTGACAATTATTGTTTCCGACAATATTCACAGCCGATGCATCCTCTCATCGACCGGCACGTAAACAATGCATCAGTGACAAGTTTTCTTACCGCGGTAGACCGCAACTTTCTATAAGACTGCGCGTGGACGTTACTTCACTGCTGCAGCTTCCGCTCATCTGCTATTAAATCGCAAACAGCAGAGGTGTAAAACATTATTTCCGTAATTCACTCATTCACTATTTATAACGAGCACGGTCCACGGCAGCATAATTTCTCTTTTCTAATCACGGAACATAATAACGTTTTTCGACGTTTACACTCCACTAATCACAGACATTTCCGACGATAACTCAAGAATAGTGGTCGATGGCGACTACATTGAAATCGTTCATACGGCTTCTGCTTCGAACTATAATGATCTTCATAGTCGCTCTTTACGACTAGTATTATATTTAATAGTTAGTATTTAGTAGTATTAGAACAGTTTCTTGCGAACATAATTCCCGCTCATTCAGGAGCCTAGAATTAATTATTCCAGACGTCCCGTTCGTTTTATTAAGTGCGTTTTAAACGTCTTTTGCTGTCACGAACGAACAATTTCCGAGTAAAATGTAATATAAGATAACAACAAATACAAAACAGGAACATAATAACTTCTAAATTGAAAGTCCTATGCAGAATCGAATTTTCCATGTACCAGAAGCCGGTGCTGGGGGTTATTCGAATAAAATTTTATTCGACTAACTTTTCGAAGAAATTCTTCGAATAACGTTTCAAATAAATTCTTGGAATAAAAGTGTGTACGAATAATATATGAAATAAATTCTTCGAATAATAATTCGAATAAATCGAACGAATAAAATTTGATTCGTTATTCATATTTTTGTGATTCCATGTTCCAGAAATGACCGGTGGTGGGACCAATATGGCGTACCACGGGCTCAGCCAGCACGTAAATTTCGAATTGATACCAGATCCCGATGATCGTTTCACATTGGAGGAATTAATCGGCGAAGGAACGTACGGGGAAGTTTACTCTGCTCATTGCAAGGAAACGGGCAGCAAGGTTGCGATCAAGATATTGGAGAACGTTGCTGATAACATCGAAGAGATCGAGGAAGAGTATCTCGTGCTGAGGGACCTTAGCCTTCATCCGAACATTCCCGTTTTCCACGGGATTTTCCTGAAAAGAGCGAAGCCTGCTCAGGAAGAGGATCAATTATGGTTCGTCATGGAGGTATTGTCGCTGTAATTCTCGTCTCACAATACAGGCAGGAAAGCGTGACAGATGTCCAATTGAAATATAGCGTGTCCTTCGGTCTCTTGAGCATTAACCTCGCATTCCTGGTCATCAATCATCTAGTAATTAGACGATCCAAAACCGTTAACGGAACGGAAATTAGAGTACCTCGACAAAGTAAAAAGTCAAATTGATTAGCTAGATATTTCCGCAGCGCAGCAGAATATTTTACGCACCATCCATATATTTAATTACATGCTTTCGGACTTGTTACGTTCTCAGGCTTTTACTATTAACACAAATTAAATCGTAAATGTGATATACCAAAGTATATATATCGTGTATACGAGCATTTGTTAATAGTTTCATTTCCAAAAATCATTTCTGTTTCAGTTAAATGTGCTTCGACTTTTTCACTAAATATTATTAATTGTGTTTCTCATAAATGAATTAGAAAACGTGTATTTTTCATGAAGATCTGCAGTCTCGTAATAGCTGATGTAATATTCAATAATCATTTTGTAAAATAGAAAATGTAATAGTGAAATTTCAAATTTAACAACAACATAAAATGACTGTACAAAATTTGTAAATGAAAGAATCGCCGCTAGAATTTTTATCAATAATAACAATAATGTTTTTATGAGAACGTAAAATTATAACACATCACTGACGACCAGCTACAAAATGATGCAGAACCGTGTCAGAAGTTGCAGAAGACAGAAATTTTATAATTATAAATTGAAGTGTGTAACCGATATAATAGTTTATCAAGAATGCAGTAAAGCTTGCTCCAATTTCTGAAGGAAATCTCTCTCGAATTTATTTCGCCTTTGAGTTATCCATAAAACTTGAATAAAGCGTCGAATAATTTTCGTTACAGCTGTGCACTGGCGGATCGGTAACCGACCTCGTGCAAGGTCTGAAGAAAAAAGGAAAGCGCTTGACGGACGATCAGATATCGTATATTCTCAGGGAAACAGTAGAAGCTTTAATTTATTTACACACGAATCACTGCATGCACCGTGACGTCAAGGGGCATAACATTTTGCTAACCGATGACGCGCATGTTAAGTTAGTTGATTTCGGTGTGTCCTCGCATCTCACGGAAACGCTCGCGAGGAAGAATACTTCTGTTGGGACGCCGTATTGGATGGCACCTGAGGTAAAGTATACATTTCCATCTAACGTGTTTCCTTTGATACCCGACACCTTGGCGAAGAGTTGAAGAGTAGATCAAAAGAAAAAAGTAACTGAGGACATTATCAGCTTATAATTTTGCAAAAGGATTGTTTCATAGAAATACAAATAAATTTTTCAACGAAAATTAGAAGTCAGTATGTAATTATTAATAAAAATTACATCACTCAGTTATTCTAAAAATAATTTTAGACCCGTTACGCGAGTTGCCTCACCGAATGTTTAAACAATCTTCTGTCCCAATGTCATAAGCTTAGATGCAGTGATTGTTTCAAACGGAAGATAGAATAACCGAGAGGTTTATTTTAATGTGACCAATTGCTATGCTTTTGGTTTCTTGTCGGGCATACTTAAACTTTTTTTTTATTAAAAGCAAGCATAATCGAAGAATGAAAAAGAATTTGTATATTAAAAGGTAAACGAAATAAAAGAATAAATAAATTCAATATGCCTTATTCGATAAACATAAAGTTCATTATACCCGGAAACAAATGAAACGCAATTGGTCACGACACAGTAATCGGTACCACTACCCTCTGAACATTTCCCTCGAATTTTCTTCTTGAAAATGGTTTTCACAAGGTACGATCGTGAAATAGGTGATAGCCTGCGAACAACAGCTGGATTCTTCGTACGACTCCCGTTGCGACGTGTGGTCGGTCGGAATCACTGCCATCGAATTAGCGGAGGGCGATCCACCCCTGTCCGAATTGCACCCTATGAGAGCACTGTTTCAAATCCCTAGAAACCCACCTCCGTCTTTAAAGAACCCAGACGCTCACATGCCGGAGCTGGTGGACTTCATCGCGGAATGTTTGGTCAAAGATTTGGAGCATAGGCCGTTCGCTAGCGAATTAAGGGAGCATCCGATATTGCTGAATGTGACGGAACGGGAGGACAAGATCCGCGAAGAACTAAAGGAAGAGATACGCAGACAGAGAATGGAGGGAAGGGTTCACAGGCAACCGGAAGTAACGACCAAACATGGGAAATTAAAGACTGATCGAAAAACCAGGCCGGAGAAAATGTATATGGATGACCTGGCTGCTTTGGACATGCTGTCTGAGGACGGGATTGTGGATCAGTTGGAGCACAGATACGAACAGGGTCAAATATACACTTACATCGGGGACATCCTCGTCGCGGTCAACCCGTTCACGAATTTGGGATTGTACACTGGGATCGTGAGTACATTTTTAGATATCTAAAATCTGTAGTCCAGAAATGTTTAACACAAGAAGTGACTACTATCGAAATATAAAATATCGGTGTTTCTAGGTTGCATCTTCGAAATCCTTATAGAAACCGAAATATGAAAATGCCGGCATAACGTCATACCGTTATAAAGTCATCTGACGTATGCACTCCGAATATCTTTGTTGTTTCTACTATTGTCTATACTATTATATTATACAGATACTATTATATTATACAGATACTATTATATTATAGAAATTATATTATAGAAAAACGAAGAGCATGAAATATGGGTGTTCCATAATTATGTTAAAACTTGGGAAGGGGTGATTCTCGAGGTCATTCGAAGTAACGTTTTCCTGAGCGAAAATGCAATCCGTAGCTTTATTTACCAGTTATTAACGAAAAACAGTGGCCAATGGGAGGCGAGCTCACCTGGCACAAGGCGACCGAGTTAACGAGCAGTCGAAGTCCAGTTCCACTGATTGGTTCGACCGCCCAGCACTAGGCGAGTTCACCTCTCATTGGTCACTGTTTTTCATTAATAACTCGTAAACAAAGCCGCGAATTGCATTTTTGCTAAGGAAAGAGTTACTTCAAATTACCTGACGAATTATCCCTTTTCGGGCGTTACATAATTATGTAACACTCTGTAGATCCATGGGTACCCCACGTGGGTGCTTCCATTTTACAGAAGTTCATATGTATGTACTGCTTGGTTAAGAACAATGTATCCTCACGTGTTACCATATGAACACTTGTTTTCATTTTACTTTTTTTTAGAGACATCAAGATTACAGATTCAATCATGTGTTGTTCCAATCTTATACGTTCTTCACAATAATCCATACTTTATTTCTTTTTCCATTTGCGAAGTAAATTTGTTCCAAACAGATACGGAGATAAATACACACAGAACGAAAACATCATTAATGTTTCCATTTCGTTCAATCTTGAATACCTCTTCAAGTATAAGCGTCGAAATCATTGACGAACGACTTGTCTGTTTAGGAGCAAAAGAGGTACAAAGGTCAAGCCAGGTCGGACAATCCGCCGCATATTTTCGCGGTCGCCGATGCTGCGTATCAGGCGTTGCTTCATCAACGTCAAAATCAAGCGATCGTGATCAGCGGAGAGTCCGGTGCAGGAAAAACGGAGAGCGCCAACTTATTGCTGAAGCAGTTGGTTTACTTGAGCAAAGCTCCCAATCGCAATTTGGAAGAGAGGATCCTCCAGATTAATCCAATAATGGAGGCATTCGGTAACGCGACCACGGGGATCAATGCTAACTCGTCGAGATTTGGGAAATACTTGGACTTAACTATGACAAAGGGCGGAAAAGTTACCGGTGCCAGAATATCTGTGTATCTGCTGGAGCAGTCTCGAGTAGTTGCTCAGGCCGAGTAAGTGATTGCTCTGATAATATTTATTAGATCACACCATACGGAATCTCCATTTTTCATTTGTATCAGTTCGTATTTTTAATGCACGATTATCAAAGCGACGGAGAAAAAATGTTGGAGCAATTGATCGTTTCAATTCTGGATCGCAGAAGCTCATTATTAGACTATTAATAAGACTATTAATATTTTACTATTACTATATTAGACTATTAATAATTTGTGACTATTAAACCGCGATTATTAACTACACTATGGATTTTAAACTTTTATAGCAGGAATGTCTAGGTGAAATGTAAAACGATGGACACATTTAAAGAATTTTAAAATATTGTCGTATTGAAAGTTTTTTCAAAGTTTTCGAAAAACTTTGATTATTACCTTGAATATAACAATATTTTAAAATTGTTTGAATTTACATTTCATTTACAGATTTCTGCCAAAATTTTCTGTAAAAATGATCAAGAACAAAAATAAAATGCAGCTCTAGCATACAAATAATATGCAATGAATTGTATGCATTGTAATTAACAGAGAAAAATTTCAGAAACTGACCGCTTCGCTGTAATGAAAATGATATGAGTAATAGTTAAATAATAGTAAAACTCGTGGATCAATGTGTGACAAAATAGTGTACCAATATTAGAGAAAACAATAATTACGTCGTGATATTGATAAAACATTGGACGTGCGTTAAGCACTTGTTCAGAAACAAATTTTCATTGAAAAATATATTCAATTGCAGTAACAGCAAAATTCATTTAATTGATATATAAAACAGATTAGCAACTCTGTCAGCAGTTCCAGTCGTTTCTATAAAAATTTATATAACAAAAACATTGACAAAAATTATATAAGAAATACGTCACTTGACTTTCAACCAGAAAGATGTAATTTCGTATTGTATAATTTAATATAAACTCATGAAAATATATTTTAGATCGATTAATAAAATAATTTCAGAGGCGAACGGAATTTCCACATATTTTACTATATGTACGACGGTCTGGAGGCAGACAATCGTCTGTCGGAGTACTACCTCGACGAAAACATGAGGAAACATCATCGATACCTCATGGATAATAGTCAGACATCCCAGACCCACATCGACAAGTTCCAGCAGTTGAAGAACGGTTTCAAATTACTGGGATTCCAAGATAGCGAAGTAGATACGGTTTATCGTATCCTGGCAGCTGTGCTTCACCTCGGAGATATCGAGTTCGGTGAAGTCGCCAGCGAAGATAATACCGACAATAAAAGTCGTGTAATTGACACTGCGCCATTGCAGAGAGGTAGCTAAGTTTCGCCATTGATCCTTACGTCAATAGCCGGGTACCCGGGAATCCTTTTGCACATTCGCTTCAAAATATTTTCTGTTTCCGGTCAAATATTCTAATAAAATATATATCAAATAAAATATCTGTTTTGGGTCTACAATTTTGTTTATCTGAAATGTATTGAAATTGGTATGATGAAAGTATGATATACGTTTGTTCAATAACCGGGATACCCGGGTACCTTTATGGGAAAAGAGGATAGAATTAATATAAATAACATTTTTGCGGTAATTTATACACATATTAAATAAATACAAACGTTTATATAATTATGTAAAAGTTATATAAAACAATAACGTAGGAGACAATTATAGCTTGTTTAGAACAATATCGATAATTTTGGTTATTGACATGATTATGTGCAAATATTTTCATTATGTTATCATTACGTTAGCACAATTAACTAACGTTGCAATTGCGTACCAGTCTCGCAGCTACTCGGCGTGGAAGAGACTGATCTTCTGGATGCTCTAACTTCGAACTCGGTTATGACTCGAGGAGAAACAATCACCCGCAACAATACGGTAGCCGAGGCCTGTGCAGCGAGAGACGCCATGGCCAAGGGACTTTACGGCCGATTGTTCGACTGGATGGTGAATCAGATCAACTGTTTGCTGAGTTTCAATCATGCTCCGAATTACGAGCCGCTGGCCATCGGTCTCCTGGACATTTTCGGCTTCGAGAATTTCCCAAGGAACTCGTTCGAGCAGCTTTGCATTAACATCGCGAACGAGCAGATACAGTATTACTTCAATCAGCACATTTTCACTTGGGAACAGCAGGAATACATGGCGGAGGGCATACCTGTGGATCTAGTCGAGTTTTCAGACAACAGACCGGTCCTGGACATGCTGTTGAGCAAGCCTATGGGACTTCTAGCACTCCTCGACGAGGAAAGCCGATTCCCCAGAGCCACGAATAAGTCTCTAATCGGTTGGTTTACCTCCTCTCTTGATGCTTTCGTTCATTTCTTCTTTTTCTACGTAATTGCTTCCGTTATTACACCTTTGTCTACCGTACATGTTGCAGAGAAGTTCCACAACAACATCAAATCGAAGTTCTACGTACGACCAAAATCGGACGCAGTTTGCTTCGCGGTACACCATTTCGCAGGACGCGTGGTCTACCAAGCGGAAGGATTCTTGGAAAAGAACAGAAACTTCCTGCCTCCAGAAGTCATCCAACTGGTCAGGCAGTCTCAGTACGACATGGTCCGCTTCCTGTTCCAATGCCCGATCACGAAGACCGGCAACCTGTACTCGGCGGTTCACGAGACTGATTCGAGGAAGCTATCTCCTTCGAACCAGAATACCAAGGTATTTGCGAACGAAATGTTCAAAAATTGACTCTTAACGGGCTTCGCTGCATACGTCGGCTTTTAAATAAATCATTCTGTATTTTACTTAACACGTTCCGTGCCGAGCTTTTTTTACTCGAATCTTCACACTTTGATAGTTTACTAAAACTTGATGTATTACGTGCAATTATGAATTCTCGTACACATAACAACGTAACAAAAACTTATCAACGCCCATTCTTGCGGTGGAAATTGATTCTTCGGTTCTAAATTTCTTGTAAACAATTTGTTCAGTTCACTAAGTAAACATGCAAGCGTGTACCATCGATGGTACACGTGGCACGGAACGTGTTAAT